CACACACACACACACAGCACACACAACACACAACACACAAACACACAAACACACAACACCCAACACCCAACACAGACACACACACGCAACACAGACGACACGCAACACACACACACACAACACAGACGACACACACACACACACACACACACACACGCACACACACACACACACACACACACACACACACAACACACAACACACAAACACACAAACACACAACACACAACACACAACACACAACACACAACACACAACACACAACACACAACACACAACACACAACACACAACACACAACACACAACACACAACACACAACACACAACACACAACACACAACACAACACACAACACACAACATCCCAACACGCAACACACAACACACAACACACAACACACAACACACACACACACACTCACTCACTCACTCACTCACTCACTCACACACTCACACACACGCACACACTCACTCACACACTCACACACTCACACACTCACACACTCACACACTCACACACTCACACACTCACACACTCACACACTCACACACACACACACACTCACACACTCACTCACACACTCACTCACACACTCACTCACACACACACACACTCACACACACACACACACTCACACACACACACACACTCACACACACACACACACACACACACTCACACACACACACACACATCGCAGCGAGCTTGGTCTAGATCTGGCGTATTCGGTTATATACTCCCTTAGTGCGATGTATCGTGCCAGTGTTTCAGCCATCTACAGTTCAGCTCGTGGGAAACGCAGGGACCGATGGCATGCCCGAGCCACATGTACGTGCGCCAGACGCCATGCCACTAGTTCGTCAGTATGGCGATGCACACGCTCGGACAGTGTGGACTGTCCAAGGATTTTCTCTCATACTACTTCGCATGGTTGGTCGCCGACTGAGTTTTGAATCCAGTAGATAGCCCCACAGATGTCGGTGAATTGCAGATTCATTCATTAGACATTGGCGGGTTCTGTGGCTTGCAGCCGAAGGTGGATCATCCAGAGGAACAGGCTGGGAAACATGGATGCGGAAGACGTGGGACAGTGGTGATGCTGAACTGCATGCATGTGTGCGGAAGCATTGAACGGGATGGCATCGGGAAATCAGTGAGTTGCTTCAGATGAACTGAGAATTTAACGAGAAAGCTGCCAGCACGCTAGTTCCGCCGGCAGTGCTGTGTGGGTACTTGCAGCCTCGCATAGAAGTTCTCCTCTCGGTCGCTCTCGCTTCTCCTCCATGTGTCGTTGTTTGCGGTGAGTGGCAGCCTGAGTGAACCCTTTTGGACCTTCTTGGGTAGGTAGATAGATAGACTGATCGCCCGGGCCCCTGTTGGTCCAAGAACATCACAGACTCACCCCGCCCAGCACTACTATGTTTTTTGTCACAGTGATGTTTGCGAAGGCAGCCTTGTTGAAGCACGGCGGGCCCCCATCGCAGGACGAGTGAGATCGCCCTCACTTCAGAGCTTCGGAGCTTCTTTTTATGCCTAGGTGCCTCGTCAGCCCAAATACGACGGCATTACGGCCATCCCAAGCATCCTTCCCTGCCCGTCTATTTGAACGAGCAACGATCATTGTGAGAATTCGCAGGAGATGGTGAAGCGTTGCGCCTGGAGACCGCGTGTCTGCGGGGTTGTGTAATACTTAACTGTTCGTGTTGAGGTTGTGGTCCAGTGCGATCGGCCAGAACAACTCCACAACGCTCATGAGGCATTGCAGCAGAGGTTGGCAGATAAAACTGCGAATCCCGCATTTGCAGTGCAGGCTCATTTGTGCGCTGGCAGAACTGGAGGTCATCGGACGCATGTTCTGACGACATGTATGACAAGTACGCAATGGTGTATCCCCAGGCTCGCAAGCTAAAGCTCTGCTCCAGGTTGACCGAAAAGGAGCCAGCCGGACAGCTCTTCTATTTCCAGGACAGGGCTCGCAATTCGACGCTTGACCTGCAGCTCACAGTTCTCGCAGTCGTCAAGTCTGAGCTTGAAGAGCGGGTGCTGAAACCAGCCAAGGTCGGAATGCTTGCCAAGTGCAAAGACAAGCCCAAAGTGCAGAGCATGATCTCGTGCGCCAATGCAATCGTGGGCTACGACTTGTTGGAGGCCGGTCGCAGTATTCCCTAGCCTTATCGTGTAGCGCACCGGAGTGGGCTCGCAGAAGTCGCAGTTTTCCGCGCAGCCTCCCCAACTAAGCCAAGCTCTTCATGGCTGGAAGTGTGCCGGATGCGTACGCACGCCACTGTGCTCGGCGGACACACTTAGTAGCCGGGCACAGCCCGCCCCAGTGGTGACGCAGGCTTCGGGAAGGGCATGCCCTGCCCTTTTGCTGCTGGTTTTGCCCGTGGCAGCCCATGGCCGGGTTCGGCCATGTGCCCTCTTGGATACTCGCACTTGGAGCGACGTGGGTCGTCGAAGCCCAAGTGGAGCAGGCCATGACACCGGCGCGAGCACCGTCAGAAGCGAGTAGCAAGTTACACACTTTCACATCCACCTCACGGAAACTCACCTCACCTTGTTCCGTCCATGATGTGTTAGTTGGCGGTTAAGTAGGGAGATCCGGAGTGACGCTTGGGCCAAAGGTGCCTGTGCCAGGGGGCCAGAGGCATGAATCAAAGTATGTCATGTAGTCCCGGAGTCCTGCTGTGCATGAAAGGGTTCACATCTGCCACCGGCCCACTGCCGTATGAGTGCATGTCCTGTCAAGTACAAGCATGAAATGTCGGTCGGCTAAAGCATGGACCGGCATTGGAACGACGGACTTGACATAGGTATGCCTCCAAGGGCCAAGTGAGAAGCTGGACGAGACCAGTGTGTGCCAGCCTGCCTTGTTCTTGGCAGGTGGGAGCTTTGCGTTTGCTCAGAACATTGCTTTCATGGGTTTTGGTTCGTTCTGGGCAGGCATGGCGGCTCTTGAAGTTTTGCGAGAAACTCGCCCGGAGGCGGCAGACAGGCCACAAGCTGTGGCTGGCCTCTCGTACCTTGGCAGCCTCAGCAGTAGTTGACTTTGAGGGATGGCGCATTACAGTCATAGCAATATTTGTGGGAAGTGTCCTGACTTGGGCGAGCGGCCGCCGCAGCAAAAACGCAGGATCGCCCCGAGAACTGTCGAATAGCTTCGATCCGGTGGTGAAATAAATTCCGCGTAACTGTGAGGCACCCTTCAGGTGCTGAATGGCCGATGCGCAAGGACCTGGTGCCGTGGCCAGAGCGGACCGGTCGATCAGAAAGCCAGTTGTTGGGCCACTACAACTGCAGCGCAAACTTGGTGTAGCCAAACAGAAGCCATGGCGTTCACAGGTTTCCGCGCCCTTCCGAGCTGTGAGGGACATCTTCAAATCTTCTCTTTTCCAAACTGTCAAACTGTCAAACGCTACATTGCGGCTACATGCACTTGCGGGCATCTAGCAGGGCTATTTCTCGTTAACTGTAAAGTATGCGCAGGTATGTCTAACCCTTTCTCGCACCTTCATCTGTTCAGAACTTGGTGCCGAGATGTGCCGAGGGCATGTTGAGTGTGTGTTGGTAGATTGGGTAACCGTTGGCAGCAAAGGCTGGGGGAGTACTGTGCCCTTTGTGCGGCTGGAGTCTTGGAGTTCGACGATGCTCTGAAACTTGTCATGATCAGAGGCTCGCTTGAGCTCAATGGCTTCATAATGCCGCCCGGCGCTCGACAAAGCAGGTGCAGCGATGGCCGAAGCTGCTGCTTCCACGCCACAGGCCAGAGCAAGCCGAAACAGATGCCAGCAGAGCCTCCAGTCAAGAAGCGGGCTGCGCAGTATTCTTCATGTACAGCAACGAGGCCATGGTGTCCATTGCTGGCCTGACTGAAGAAGTGGTCTCTGAACTTTGCGAGCGTGCAAAGCAAGCAGGATCTGGAGAGGTTGAAGTCTGCCAGATTGCGAGGCTTGTTTGCAATCTCAGTGTTTGCAGGATGTGGGAAGGAGCAAAACCCAGAGAAAAAGACCACGACTGCTGAACTCAGGAATGTCTTGTTCAAGAAGGGTTTTGCTTGTGCTGGAACAAGACCAGCCGTGGAAAGATTGAGGGAAGCTGCGGAGAAGGAGAAGGCAATGCAGGTGGCATCTCTGGTGTCAGACGGAGTTGACGAAACCCACCCATGAATTGCAGATGCTCTCTCAAAAGTGTTCCTGGCTGCATCAGGCGAAACTGATCAAGACATCCGGGGGATTCCACACAGTGCCTTGTCACCTGAAGAAGTTTTTCTTGTGGGTTAGTGACCGTTAGTGGAGCATAGTGGCCCACGAGCTACCGACTTCAGATTGTTTGTGTGGAATTTGCTTTGGGCCTGGATGGCAGCCTCAGCAGTGAGACCTGGCCAATCCAGAAGCAGTCAGGCTGAGTCAACAGTTTGACCCAAACAACCATTGCCACGACCACCATGAACTGTATCAGTTGCTCCGACCCTTGATTTGCTGCATCTTGCAGGTGTTGGACTGTTCATATATGCAGACGTTAGTATGTGCCATTGACCAACAGCTATGCAGTGCCCATTCTGTCACTTTGATTGCTATTCTCCCACGGCCATCGAAACAGTCGTAACACTTGACTACATCGTAACTGTTGGTATCGGTTGCTTGTGAAGCCATGCTGCTGTTCTTGCAGCCCATGTTGTTCCTAGAGGCTCTTTCTGGCATATGTCGCTCCGAAGATGGAGTAATCGACCCACTAACATCCATCCATCCATCCATCCATCCATCCCTCCGTCCGTCCATCCATCCATCCATCCATCCATCCATCCACTTGCACTTGTATTTGGCAGTTGCACTTACAAGTATTACGCTTATACTTACACTTACACTCACTTACGTTTGCATTTACACTTACACTTGCACATGCATGCAAACATGCGCATGCACGCACGCGCACGCATGTGCACGCACGCGCACCCACGCACCACTCACACACCCACACACCCACGCACCCACACACCCACACGCCCACACAGGGGGTCGGTGGGTATACAGGTGGGTGGGTGCACGGGTGGGTGCATGGGTGGGGTGGGTGATGTGGGGTGGGGCGCGGGGGTGGAGGGTTTAGGCGGTGGGGGGGTGTGGGGGTGTGTTGTGGGTGTGGTGGGTGGGTGGGCGTGCGTGGGTGGGTGTGGGTGGGTGTGCGGCTGTGCCTGGGTGTGGGTTGGTGTTTGTGCATGTGGGCGTGGGTGTGGGTGGGAGCAGGTGGGGGTGGGTGGGTGGGTGGGTGTGGCTGGTGGATCGTTGTGCTAAGACGGTCACGAGCGTTCCTGGTTTTGGTGGTGGAAGTGACGGTGTATCAAACATGAGCACGCTACCTACTCGCAACACCCTGAGACTGCTTCGGGCCTGCTATGTTCCAACAACGTCGAGCATGCTCAATGCATTCTGGAGCGGTCGAGATTGGCAAATCATCCACCCAAGGAGTTGATGAAGCCTGCACAGGAGAAATTGAATGCAGCTTTAAAAAGCATAGCTCCCAGAATGATGCCACCGAGATGCGATGTGCCACTCAGAAGATTAAAGCACGTCCTTGCTTCGCTCATTACTTCTGACTCTGTCCTTTTTGTCTTGCTTAACCCCTGGCTACTTTTTCTTGGCGATGACCCAGGTACATGAATGCAACTGGGCAGTTGCTTGGCCCGATTGAGAGGGTGCATGGAAGACCGGCCTTACATTGCCAGTCAGGAAAGTGGCAGCAGGCACGCCACCGCAGGACAGCACTGAGCATCATCACAAGTGATGCTTCCGAGAAGATCCGCGAAGCAACGACGCGAAAGGAGATCATTCCCATCCTGTCGCAGCAGCTATGCTCCCGAGTACTTTGGGAGCCGAGCATGCAAAGGACCGGGGTTAGCTGAAGTTGCAATTCTCGCGATTCAGGATTAAGACGTTCTGCATGGTTCTGTGAGGATGATCGATGCTGGAGTTGAGGAGTTTTACGAAGTGGGACCTGACAAGCAATTGAACCTTGAATCCAAGCAGTCTGAGCAGGCCAGGCAGGTCGTGTAAGTGGATCAGTAGTTGTATATCAGCAACTCTTGTGATGTAACACTAGTTCATGCGGCGCGAAGCGACTTGCACTGTGATACACTGATGTCGTCATGCACTGAGGAAAGCCATGATGAAGCGGATCGATCAAAGCGCGTGGAGCTGCACAACAAACGTGGAGATCTAACCGGTTGCTGCCTTGTGTCCCCATCTTGACCAACCTACTTCCCACGCGGCGCCGGCACTTTCAAGCAGGTGCTCTACCAGCATGGTATGCTGCACATTCTAGTCTGTTGCTTTGCAGCTGTTTCACTGCTGATCAATGCAGATCATCGGCAGTTCTTGCTCCAGGTGGCGATCAAGGCACGCAGCGCGACTACACGTACTGAGATGCCAGCTAGGTCAGCTAGGTATCTCGCTGCGGCTTGCAACTGCAGCGAGCTGCAGAATCCGAAGTTGCAGCCAGACTGCGTGGATAGTCGGGATGCGCAGACGTCGCATGCCAGCTTGAGTGTGGACATTCTGAGTGAGACGGCATGTACTTGTGCATGGAAGAGATAGGAGCGTTTTTTTCGTGTGCGTGTGTGTCTCATACTCTCTGGGAGCCACAATGGTTGGTGGGGGCTATCAGGAGATTCCTTGCAACCCGTGGATCATTTGGCGATTTCAGGCCTTGCAAGCAGACTTTAAAATAGGTCTCTCCTCAGCATCGCATGTCGGCTTTTGCGGCTGCTTCGATTTGGCAGATATGGCAGATGTGACAGGTCATGCTCTATGCAGCAGAGCTGGCGGCGTGCATGCCTCAAGAATCCTGTGTTGGACGTCCGATAGACCTGCTCGCTTGAGGCGATGGTTCGGAAACAACTTCGTTTCAGGCACAGTAGCACTGCATGTCATGGTGCGAAGCTCGAAGCATGCGGCGGCATCTCGCATCTTTCAGGTTGTATTCCATCTGAGGCTGAGGAGGCTGGGGACCTTGGCAATAGCACGGAGCATCCCAAACCCAAAGCACCGACCTGCGAGACCTCGTTTGGCTTGTCCGAGTGCGAGAGCATAAAGCCCGGTGCTGCAGGCGGTTTATGTCGTACAAGTGCAAGACATGCTGCCGAGCTCTTACAACACAGCGGCACAGCGCCAACCTTCATGCCACTTTTTGCTACATCTGTGTTCGCACTCGGACCGTGCGGGTTCTTTCACTCGCGCGCACCCACACCCACACACTTGACTTTTGGCCTCGCGTCTCGAGTCCCCTGCTCTGGTAACTGATGGACTTCACGGGGCCATTGATGTAGTCGAAGTAGAGTACGAGATGATGGTCATGTACCTCAACGTGCTTAGACTAGCGAGCCGCAGTCGGCTACCAGCAATGCTGATTTAGTGGGCCTTATGAACCACTGGTGATGATGGCAAAAAAGATTGAAAACCTAAACAAACTTACGCGAAATCCAAGCAGATCTCAATAAAGCATTCGCTGCCCTCTCATTCACCTGCAAACACACACACACACACATGCACAACACAAACAAGAACACGAACACACGAACACACGAACAGACACAGACACACAGCCAGCCACACAGCCACACAGCCACACAGCCACACAGCCACACAGCCACACAGCCACACAGCCACACAGCCACACACACAGCCACACAGCCACACAGCCACACAGCCACACAGCCACACAGACACACACAGACACACAGACACACACACAGACACACAGACACACACAGACACACAGACACACAGACACACAGACACACACAGACACACACAGACACACACAGACACACACAGACACACACAGACACACACAGACAGACACACACAGACACACACAGACACACACAGACACACACAGACACACACAGACACACACAGACACACACAGACACACACAGACACACACAGACACACAGAGACACAGAGCCACACAGAGACACACAGACACACACAGAGACACACAGACAAACAGACACACCGGCACACAGACACACACACACACACAGACACTCAGACAAACACAGACACAGACACAGACACAGGCAAACACACACACACACATGATTTGACCCTCGCTTGACCGAAGCCAAACATGGGATAGCACGTGTTCCTACAATCGTGGCCTACCACCTGCTTTTCCAATCTGTTCATGCTCACGCTTTCATCCTGTTGCATCTCTTCGAAATTCTTCAATACCCTCGTTGGCTCGTGCAGGTACGTTTTCAGCACTTGTCATTGGCCTCTTCGTTGGCCATCCACCAATGACAAGAGGGATGGCCCCCTGCTTTTTGAAACAAGCGATTCTTTCAGTGACAGGGTTTTACACACACACAGCTGCCCCTCGAAAAGGGTAGTAATGTGAAACACTCAAGCCAACATGCTACGCATTCTAACATTCATGAAACGCACATGCCGACATGCTACGCATTCCAACATAATTCATGAAACACTCATGCCGACATGCTACGCATTCCAACATTCATGAAACACCCATGCCGACATGCTACACATTCCAACATTCATGAAACACTCATGCCAGCATGCTATGTTTTTCGTGGTGCATGCATGAGTGAAAGAGATTTGAAGGAGACAGGACGATGAAATGAAGGGGTGATGAGCACGCAAAGAGTACTCAACGAATGGAGAAGTGCGCTCCCTGTGTACATCATCGTCCCCACCTGGCATCTAGGGTTTAGGGGAGAAGAAATTGGATGAAGACATGGTCGATGTGGGAGTTCGCAGGCAAAGCCGCAGCCCTCCCAACATTGCCATGTGATCGGTGATTCAGCGCACAAGTCCTGATGCAAAAAGTGGGGAAGTTCGCGGTGGAAGTTCGCAGGCAAAGCCGCAGCCCCCCCAACACTGTAGCACGGGAATGAATTCATGGCTGCAAATCACCAGTTGTAGAGTAGGAGATGTCGCATTTACACACTTGATTTGACTTTCGATTGACCGCAGCCGAACATGGGATAGCACGTATTCCTACAATCGTGGCCTACCACCTGCTTTTCAAATCTGTTCATGCTCACGCTTTCATCCTGTTGCATCTCTTCGAAATTCTTCAATACCCTCGTTGGCTCGTGCAGGTATGTTTTCAGCTCTTGTCTTTGGCTTCTTCGTTGGCCATCCACCAATTTCTTGAAGCACTGCGATTCCCTTAGTGACAGGGTTTTACACACACACACACACACACTCTTTCTCTTTTGACGAGCTGGGCGTACTCCTATGTCAGATTTAGCTAGTCCCAAGCAACACACCGCAAGCAACAAAACAACACAGCAACACAACGAAACAATTACAACGCAAGTCGTTCACCTGTACCACAACCCCTACTGAGACAACCCTCAGTGGGGAGAAGGACCCGCATACTTGTGATCCTGGGTGTTGGTTTCCCCTGCAAAAAACATTCACTTGGGACGTGACTTCCCTTGAGTTCATGAACGAGAACCACAAACACAGTGCCCCAACTGGGGCGCTGAGCATCGCCATCGAGGGGGCGCGGGAAACGGTAGTGGTGTGGGGTGGGTTGCTGTGATTGTCTAAGTTACGGTCTAAGTGCACAGAGTTCACGAAACATAAATGTGGAATCCGGAGCTAGCCAAGATGCGCCGAGCATCGAACATTCCGAGTAAATACCGCTTTTGAAGCTAATCAAGGCGCACAAAGTGAGCGAAATTTCGCCAACACAGAAAATTCAAAACCCGCAGATGCCGGCAACACCCTCGAACAATCGCACCGCTTGCCAACTACATGTCTACATACTTGAAGCTGTATCCAGAACGTAGGCTTCACTTGCTACACGTAGGAGATTGACAAAGGACTCGTTTTGGCATGCGCTGAGCTGTGTTGCGAAAAGCGCCGAGGCTGGAGATCCTCCACCAGGCAGCCACCCTAAACCCAAACGTGCTTTGAATCCGTAGTCCGTAGTAGTTCTGACGTGCTTTTCGACCACTTGCGATGCCGAGGTCGCAGACGCAGGAGGCTTGCGGCTCATGTCTCATAGCCCTTTGAATCGGTGTTCCCATCCCGAGAAAGGATCCATTGCGGAGGCGAGCAATGAACTGACGACCATGTGAGAAGCCCAGCACGGATGCAAGGAAGATGGGGCAAGCCATGAGAGAGCACTTTAATGTACTCATGACTTTTTCCTGCTGTTCGCGAAGTTGTACTGCGACTGGCTGAGGTCCGCCGATCTTCAAGTCAAGGTACACGGCAGTGAGTTTTCTAAACTTCGAGCATGAAGATTCATGCAAGGTTTTCGAGGAATATCAAAAAGCAAAGGAGATCCGAACGAAGGCCAAAGTCTGGCAGCACTTGCTTGAACCCGACTTACTTGTCCGATCTGGCAGGAACACGAGTACGGAGACTTGCAGGGGACTTACACACGCGACTTTCAACTCTATTTTTGTGCGCTTCATGTTTGCACACACGGCTTGGCGCAGAGAAAGCATGAGTGCCGCTTTGGTCCAGGGCCGAAGAGGATCAAGAGCGTGGCACTGCCGATTCGTTGGCTCCGGCGGGAAGTCACCAACGGCAGCGAAGATCAGCAGATGGACGACAGCTGCAGGACTCGGGGTGGTCTGATCGCTGTTCCGCTGGACATACTGATCAGTTAGAAGCATTTGTTGCAGGAGTTCATTGTGGATAACAGATGGTTGAAAGCACAGATCCTTGGCTGGATTTCTGAGCCGGTACCATGGACCGCTTACTCATGATGCAGTTGAGGACTGATGGCTTGAGCTACCGCAACACAAAATTCATGGAGGACCGTTCGGGGTGCGTATGTCTCGCAGCGGTCCCTGCCATGATTGCGCATGCGAGGATCAAGATATCACCCGACCTGTGGCGCCATGGCCGGCTGCTTTGGTACATCCTGCGACTTCCCAGATTGGTTGCAGGAGGAATGTCTCATGCAGAGTTTATCAGGTTTTCGGTCGTCTTTGGCTATGATGAGGAGGACGGCTGGGCAAAGTGCTCAGTTTTAGTCTGTGCCGTGCAGGACGCAGCAAGCACAAAGGTGAGTGTCCTCCGATGTGACTAGGTCAAACTTGAAGATGGCAGCTACTTGCCGTCTTTTGTGAACGATGTGCCGGTGGCCGGCTTTCATTCATGCATGTCATCGCACAAGCTTTCAGCGTGACTCGTTGGGTTGTCAGTTGGAACATTGAGCACTTTGTGAGTCTGAGGTATTGACTGTCCCTCAGGACGAACAGTGAGGACGGTACGATGCCTCTCGAGCAGGCTCCTCAAAGTTTTCAGCGACAGCCAGCCGCAAACGAGGACATGCACGCACTTGGACACCGAGGCTCCAGGTCCTGCTTTAAGTGGGACGGGAGCCGTCCTTGTGAGCTTGTTGAGTGCACAGTCCTTTCTTGTGTTCCGTGCTTTTTTGGTGGGCAGATGTTCGATAGAATCATTGCGCATCCTGCTCCGGGACTGCAGCTTCCACCGTTTGGGAAGCTTGAATTGGTTTGCATGCCTTCCTTGGGCCTTTGGCAATGCCCAGAGAACCTGTGTTCATATGAGCAACGCCCACTGCCCCCATGTCGTATGCTGTACTGTGAACAGTTCCGAGTCCTCAGGCTTTGCGATGGAGTTGTCGCAACCGGAGTACAGGAACGATTGGAAAAAGCAGATGGACGCATGTATCTCCTGTGCTGCAAGCTCCATCGCGTTTCAATTCAACTATAGCAGCAACGGCCGCTTGACTGAGCTGTCCTAGGCAACCTGTGTCACGGCGTTGCAACCCTGCGCGCCTTAAAGTTGCGGAGCCCAGCAAGTGAACTCGGCAAAGCTCTGGTTTGGCAAAAGACTGAGTGACTTCGTGCTTGTAAGGAGCTTATTGTAGGCAGCACGTGCGTGCATTCTTGATTCTCGCAGACAATTCCTGTGGTGAAGGTCCGGTGTCCTTACCGTGGCTGTGGGGCGAGGGTTCTTGGCTCGAGCTGCGTAACATCTGTGCTAGATGCCGGGAACCGGAGGTCAAGCCAATGAAGCAGCTTGAACGCGCTGCACTCACTGCTTCAATGGACTGGCACGACGGTCGAAGCGAGGTCAGGGCAGGATCTGAGTCCAGCAGAGCATGATTGCAGCTGGATGTTCCAGAAATCGATTCTTGAATGGCTCAGTGCATGTGGTGCCGCTTTCCTCGTTTTGCCAAAAGCAGTGGCTCTTCACTGCGAGCCCTTTGACCTGAGCGCGAGTGACGAGCACAGCCAGTTCGAGAACATTTTGCGGCAAACTCCCTTTCAGATCCTGGCTCCTGCTCGGCATGCTTTGATGCTGCTGTCGCGAGAATCCCAGCAAGTCGGCGAAGTGGAGGCGTTCGCGCATGCCGAAGCCTTGTCCGAGTACGGCCGGGTCTTGCAGGCGGTTTACAAGCAGTCCGGAGATGAGAGCCTGCTACGGGCATTGTTAACCGTACGTCAGGGGGCCCTGGACTTGGCACCCGGCCCGGCCCCTTTGATGGTGCTTCGCCTGGCCGACGCGCTGTTCGACCTCTGCCGCTCGATGCTCCGATCAGCTCAGAGATCACTTGCTCTCTTCCTCCAAGCCGAGGAAATCTCTGGGCAGATGTGCAACGCCAAAGTTGTTTTACTGTACAAGCAGCTGGGGCAGTGGGTGGAAGGAGAGAAGTATGCAAAAAAATGTGGGTTGTCGATTACACACTTGCATCTGCAACATCCGAGGCTTCAGACCATGCCGTGGTGGAACCTCGAAGACCCCAGACTGCCCAAATGGCTGCGTGGAATGCGTTTCCGACATGCTGTGCACATCATCCGTACTGATCTACAGAAGTGCCTTGAACGCACGCCGAGCGCATTTGACGACTCTGCGAATGATTGGTTTTTCGTTGGCTCTCGCTTCAAATGGACTGGGCTGAATCTGATGCACTCAGCTCGGGGGGGCTGGAACGAGCGATGGTGTGGGGAGCAAGCTTGTGCAAAGCGGACCTGTGATATGTTGCGTTGGCGCAAGGAGCTGAACCATAGCCTGTGGCCAAAGCTTAGCCAAAGAGCGGGCATCACATCAGAGAGCTCGCCTCCAATGTATGTGAACTTCTATGCGCTGACTCCTGGGTCGCATATTCTGCCGCACCTCGGACATGATGGACGGGTCACCATTCATCTGGCACTGCTCGTCCCACCCGGCAACCAATCACGCATTCGAGTGGCCAACCAAACGATCAACTACACGCATGCTGGCCAGATGTTGGTCTTTGACGATGCCTACGACCATGAAGTTTGGAATGATGGCAAGACAACGAGGTATGTTCTTGGTGTTACGATATGGCACCCAAGTCTCTTGATCCAGCTGCCACCCTCTGAGATTCCGCCGGAGGTCCCTGCCTCTCATTTCACACTCTCTTGGAGAACTTCACCGGAAAGCCCAGTCAAGCAGAAGCCGAAACCATCTGATCGGACAGCTAGGTCATCAATCTGTCGTGGTCGTGTTATCTGTGCAGGCGGCAGTCGGATTCGCAAAAATCTGTCTACAATGCGTTACCAAATTGAGAAAGCTCTTGCTTGCATCAGGCTTCTAGACGTACCCTGGGTTGCATAAAGGTTTGGTTCCACGGCTGCGGGAAGTCTGCCGCAGCATGGCTCAAGCGCAAACAAGGTGTAATTCCTTACATCAACGCGCTACCTTGTCAGCAGCTACCTGCATGGCTCAAAAGAAGTCAAAGCTTTCCATCTTCGTGCTTGCCCTCGCAAGCTCATCTCTCTGCTTCGCAGCTTATCTCTCCAAGGGCGATTTTCGCTTTCGTCACGACCCAAACACTGGGCGTCATGGCTTGACTTGCCGAAATGGATGGCGGCAATGGGGAGGAGGCGAAAAGCTGGAAGAGGCCACGGCTCTCTCAGGGAGATTGGACACCGAGACTGCGCGAGAGGAGTGGATGCAGGGTTTAAGGGAAGGCAGCACTGATTGGGAAGAAGTGAAACTAGGACTAGCTATGCTTTGGGAGAAAGCTGCAAAGGAAGGACGAGATGGGGGACCGTTCGGTTATCCGATGGCCTTGACGCGCCTCTTAGAAGGTATCTACGATGAGCCAAACGGCGATGAGATGCTTGTAGCTGATATCGAAGCTCGTCTTACTCAAGTTCCTCAAGGAGACCCCAAAGATCACGAGGTTTGGAAGCGCTCGGTCGCATCCTGCTGCTTCGACGAGCTCAGCTTCATCAGCAAAGGGCTGTAGCTGGCGTCATGCCATTTAGACAAAGGCTTGCACAGCCGAAAGACAGCAGTAGAGGAAAGAGGCAGCTGCAGGATAGTGCCCCGTCTAGTCTGTGTCTGTGTTCAGTACCATCCATGTGGGCAAGCGGCAAGAAGCGATGCCTGGTTGGCCGCCCGAGTTCCACAAGACATACTCGTAGCGAGGTAGCGGGCCTGGCACAACCAAACTCTGCACGTGGGACGCCAGGATCAGAATACGCCTGCAGCACACATCTGCGGCCGCATTGTTCAAACGCGCAGCGGGAGAGTTGTTGAAAATGAAGGGGGCGCAGGCGGCATCCGTGACTGCCCGAACGCCGGGATCCGGTCCGGTCTTCTCATCGCCGTTCCGAAAGTGCTGAGTGCAGGTGGCATGGACGAGGCCCTTGCATCTGATCTGCACCACTTCCGATCGAGATACCCTTTCGACGACGATGTTGCTCGGCCTGGACACATCGAGATGTGATTGAGGCCTGCAACTAAAGCTATCAAGGCCGAAAGAACTGCCTGCAAAGGCATACAACTATATCGTGAATTCCAGCATTGAGGCCGGTTGCGCATGGTCAGACAGTCCAATTCTTGGAAGTTGTCTCGTGCAGCACCTGAAAACCAAACACTTCAGAGCTCCTGAGCTGCGGGACGGAGATGTGAGATGCAGACACGATTGATCGACAATTTGGTGGGGTCCTGCCAGACACGACGTCTATTCTTGCAAGCAAGGTTCAGCATGAAGTCTTGCGTGACTTCAAGCCCAGGCAGGAGGGTGAGGAGGACGGCTGGCACAACCATCCATGTCCACTTTCGTTGCTGGAACGGCAATTTAGCTGTTGCAGGACTACTCCGCGCTGATCATGGGATTTACCAAGAAGCGGCGGCAGAAATCTGGCTGCTGTGGGCAGTGGGCAGAGACAACCAGAAGGGCAGATGTCAGTCAAGCCAAGGTCTGTGAAAGAACGACAGCTGAACAGCTTTTCGGGGGCACCGGCCTTTTTCATGTCCCTTTCCCGGCATTGTTTTCAGATTTTCCACGCCTCGCCCAGGCGGCCCAGGCCTACTTCTATGAGCCTTCGTTCAATGAACAAGATGTGTCTCTGACTGAAGCAGAGCTGCAGGCGCAGACTCTACCCGCATTCCTCAGAGCCACTACTTGTCGTGTCACCAATCATTGCAGGTTCAGGGATGACTGGGTGCTCCTGGCTGGGTACAAATTAACAGCACCCTCAATCTTATCCTTAAGGCCGACTGTCAACAAGTAGTGGATTTTCGAGTGCCCCTGGTTGTTTCCTCCCGTCACCTAATGCAGGAGGCCGAAAATCGAAGCCACCTTATTTCGCTTTCTGTTGGTGTATTTGACTGTCACTGCCCGCAGGCCTTCAGGGACAGATATCCATTCGACGAGGACACAGTGCTCGACTGCTTCAGCAAGACTCTGGAGGGTGTGATTTCGATACTTGTTGCTGGGAGGCGTGTTCGCGAAGCATGCTTAATAACTCTTTGCGGAGTTCGGTACTAGTTGTAACCCGAGTTGGTATGCAGCATCTTGACAAATTCTAGCTGTTGCGACTGTTTCCCACCATAGTTGCTTCATAGCACTTGAAGCCTTTCATTCTGATTTTATAGCTTGCGGCTGTTTTGGAGGGAGGGAGGGAACACACAGTCCCCAAAATTGTTCTGCAACCAATAGCAACCAGTGGACTCCACACCAGCCGCCAGCCGCTGCAGCAACGGACATGCGCTTTGCATTTTGGCATGGCTTTCGGTGCAGCGTCGCCTTCAAAACCACATCCGGCTAGCTTTTGGCCCCAGCAGACGGCATCATGCACGCTTCCAGCAGACAAGGCAATTAGAAGGCTCGAGAAGGTCAATAATTTGTTTGGAACGCTCACATTCCTACAACACTTCGCGGCGACGGAGCATTCACCACCTATGCAGAAAAGGGCAGAGAGACCCGAGACCTGCCGAGAAGATCCTGACCGAAGGGTACAACGGGCCACGGACCCCGACGACAGCAAAGCATGTCGAGCCCATGTCACGAAAGCTGGCCTCCGACGGCTAGCAGAGTTGCCTACCCAAAAGCTTTGGCTTCCGGAGGGGTGTGGTTGGCGAATGAGCCTCGAGGGTACGGAGGGGCAAAGCGGCTCGATTTCGTGCAGCACCCGAGTGTTTAACCGAATGCAACTAAGAAGCATTTAAGGGAGAAGCGAGGAGGCAATGCTGTGCAGACCAGGTGACTGCATAGGATCTCAGCAAATGAGCGCATCGTCTCTGCATTTGTGAAGTGTTGGACTGTTTTGTAGTGCTACCTCCTGGCCACTCTCTGCATGAAACATGATATCTGGCCTCCATAGCTTTCCAGGGTGGCTGCACCGGCTTTCGTCCCAGTCCCGCCCCCCAAGTTTGTTCACAGGCCGAGCGGCAAGAGGGCAGCTTTGGGTGCAGGATGGGGCATGTCTGTGGCTTCGGTGGCTGTGACAACCTTATATTCACCTCTGCTCGGAAGCCTTGAACGAAGCACTACGATCAATGTTGTGTAATCAACTTTAGACATTGTTTGGGCCAGGATGTTGAATGTCTATGCTGCCTACGTCGGTACTCTATGAAAAAGTTGTAGGTTTCTGCATGCAGACAGGACATCAGAGTTTTCATAAGCATTGTACGAAACTTAGAGCTTTCCGGAGCTTGCGGAGGTTGCCGTTTTCCACTTCACCTAAGCCGAAGTGGTCCAGGTCGAAATTAAATTGTGTCCAGCACCTTGGCTAGTCGTTTCACAAAGGGAGGGGCGACCAGGACCAAGGGTCTCGGGGATGAGGCCGAGATGCGCGTGAAAGTTCGGGGTGGGTGCACGACAGCCACACACTCCCAGCAGCTCCCACACCGCTTAGGTGAACAAGGCATCCACTCCCCAATCAATGCCTTCGAAACCACAAGGGGGAGGTTCCGGGCGCAGGTCCGACCTGCTCGGACTCATTCCCCAGGGAAGGAAGAGAGATCCTTGGAACTGTGGTGTGCAGTCTAACCGGAAAGTTGAGAAGCTCAGCCCACAGAGTGACAGACACCTTTCGCGCGTACAACCGTGCACTCCTCCAACAGACGGGCTGCTTCCGCGGGGGCATGCCCTCAAGCCTGGGGAAAGAAAGAGATCCTGCCAAGGACGGCAAGCGCGCGCCCGCGCGCGAGGTTCCAGGGCTGGATGCTCCTTTTGTCACGATGTTCACCGAGCGCAATTGCACAGACGGTAACCGTCCACCTGTCTTGAGGACGCCCACCGGTACATTGTCTCGTCACCGCCTCATGTCCAAAGAGAAATACTTCGCACATTCAAGCCTCCGAGGGAGGGCGAAGAGGACTGCTGTTCCGCAGCATGAATGATAGAGACGGACACGAGTGAACTGTTTTTTAGATACTCTCAGGACTACTCTGCCTTGGTCATTAGCTTCGCGAAGCGGTGTCGCAACGTCAGGGGCAAAGATTGCCGTACACCGGCAATCACTTTTCGTTTTTCGTGCATGTAGTCAACAGTTGAAAGCCCTGAGGAGCAAGGTAGGCTTGCCGTTGGTCCGGGCATTGTTCAATGTGAGTGGAGTTCTTCTTGTCAGAACGTGTTGTTGCAGTCTTTTAGATTTGCCGAGTTCGTAGGCGACGTGGATTCTCGACCCCATTGCATAAGACGGGGATCTTGCACCCATGAAGACCGACAGCCTAGCCTTAGACAATCATGCGCTAGCACGGGTTTCGGCATTTGCATTGTGAGGCGGTTCCTTCGTTGGATCTGTCGACCAGCCGTGGGCCAAGCGGTGCGGCTGGCATGCTTTGTACAGTTTGTCCATCCAATGGTTCAATGTCATTGCGAAACCGCCAGGGCGAGAGTACGAAGCGTTTCGTGACCGGTACCCTTTCGACGATGACACACACAACTACTTGCTCCTTTGCCCGCATTTGGCTTCTTTGGTTGAGTCTTTGGTCCCATACCGGACCATCAATGAGCATGTCTTCCTGCCAGTGCCATAAAACTGCTTGCTCAGATCTGGCAAAACTTAGGCAGAGCTCGCCTCCTGAAGTGCGAAGACAGGTGTTACAGAGCTTTAAGCCTCCACGGGAAGGCGAAGCAGACTATTCTGCATTGCTGATCAGTTTTTGCAAGAAGATCCGGGATCAGCGACTGCCACAACTGGGCAGAGGCTTCCAGGTGCCCCGAAGTCTGTCAGCACCTGGATACCAACCGCCTCGACAGCAACCACCTTGGCACCAACCACACCAACCACCTCCGCCACCTCCGCCACCTCGGTTCAGAGGAGCACGTGCCTCGCATGTGGATGGCTTCCAACGGTCCAGCGATGAGAGCGCCCTGCGCATGTTCAGACAAAGATATCCGATGGACGACCGGGCTTTCGACTTTTTGAAGTCTGCTCAACCTTGGGTGCAGCAAGAAGTGCTGGAGAACTTTGCTCCCCAGCGTCTGGATTCAGACTACTCTGCGTTGGTTATAGCGTTTGCGAAGAAATGCCGTGAGAGAGACCAAGCAGGTGGCTTGGACACAAAACGACCACGGTTAGCGTATTGACGCGTTCGACGCGTTGATGTGCGCGACTCTCCAAGAAAGCTCCGGCCTGCATAAAGACGAGTGCTACAACGACATGACATGCAGCAGTCCGAAGTTAATGTGCACCCCTAATAAAACCTTCTGCCTGAACGGAAAATGATGAATTGAGAATTATAGATAGGGAGTTGCACAGATGAAGATGGAGTTTATGAGATTATGCTGTTCATTGCATGCCGGAACACTGTCCCGGAAGTGGCTGTACCTGGTACCGTCACCGGCTCTCAGCAACTCCGGAGGTCTGCTGTATAATCCTGCAGCCACCGTTTCAAAAACGCAGAGTCAGCAATGCCGCAGGGAGGCCACACTGCCAGTCATTGCATCCAAGACTCGTGGGTTCGGTCACAGAGGGTGGTTCAGTGCCCTTCAGCTTCAGATCGGGTACCAGTACGCGGTACTAGCGATGGGTTTGCCATGTTTTGGTTTGTTCTTGATTGCTGACCATGTTGCAGTCTGGTTCAAGTTCTTGAATCAGATACCAGCAGTGAAGTAGCAATGAAGGTTGCGCATGGCGTCGTTCTGTTTCTGTCCCTGCTCGCTCAGACAGGGTCGGAGTTTCTGAAAAAGCATGAACATTCGCGTGCCTTGGCAGTCGAGCCATCATCCAAGCCTCCTCTGCCAGCAAAACCAACCTTTGGACCAGAAGCCTACGTCTTGGGAGTCATTGCTCCAGGGTCCTTCATTATGGGCCTGGCGGCAGTGGTGCTTTTGCGGTACTATGAGAGGCGCCATCCTTCAAACGACCTCGAAGTTGTTGACCGAGAACCCGAGAATTTGGACGAAGATGTCTATGGTGCAGGGGTTGCGACCTTGGTCAGAGATTCCTACAGTCTGATAGAGGGAAAGGGAAGCCTCTTTCTTCGGATCTCGCGGTTATCCAGCTCGTTTTTGCTAATGCTCTTCGTGGTTTTTCTGCAGATATTCATTATTCTGCAGATGCAGAAGCTGGTGGCGAGCCGAGCAGTCACCGAAATCCGGCAGATCTATGGACGCTATGAGTTTGTCATGTATGGCGCGGACATGTCTCATATCTACCTAACAGAAAACGGCTTCCCACGCGGAGTGGATCCAACATATTTTGACGCGGCAAACTTCGGCCGGCTAACCGAGAGCGAGCAGGCTTCTGCATGCAGAATTCCGTGTCTGGGACTGGAAGAATGCCTAAAAAACCTTTCTGCAACTAGGCGTGTAGACGTTCTAAAAGCTAGCCATACCAGGTTCTCGCAGCCACAGCTTTTGCTGCCAATCCTGCCGCCCGGCTGAGAATTGAAGTGCTCGCCATGTGTTTCACCAGTTTTTCAGCTGCAAAGGTTCATCTGGACGCTGACAGTTGTGGCAGACTTGCGACGATGTGGAGATCTATTTGTCCGCCTGATCTTGGCTACCCCAACGAAGCTTGAAGGGCATTAGTAGATCAGCATCCTGCTGTAGCCTTTCGCTTTAGCGCCATAGTGCCACAGAGCAACTAGAAAGTGACAAGGAATACTCCTAGCAAAGTAAAAAGAGTCAACGAGCATGGCCTCATCATGTCTTTGGCGAGCAGGATCTCATCAATGCGTGATGCTGTCGTCGAAGGAGAGGGAGAATGTGAAGTGGTCGTTGGCTTGACTGGCACGCTCAAAGCCGTGCTGATGGCATCTTGCATTGTTCCACGCTACCTGATAAATGTTTATCTGTTGTGGCTGGGGTGCCGCTGGCTTGCGGCCACTCCAAGTTTCGGAGACTTGTTGCTCAATGCTGCGCCTTGGCTTACCTTGGAGCTGTGCAGACGTTTGCTACTTCAGCAGTGCTAGAACTCAGCGAACTGACACATCCAGCGAGGTGGCGCTCGAGTTCATCCTTCTTCTTAAGGACACCCTGTATGCAGGTGTGGTACCTGATAGAAACAAGCGTGCGACGCAGAACACCCTCATTCAGCCATGGCAAAAGAATCTTGGCAGAATGCTTCTTCTGTATTCGTTGAGGATGACAGCTGATCCTTGCCTTCTAGGAGAGAGCCTGCCAACTACCGCGTCTTCCTTTCGTGGCTCGGCACGAAGTGACCGATGTCCATTTGTTTTTGCAAGCTCGCCGTGAGCTGTTCAGAGGTCCTTCCTATTGATCCTGGTGACTTGTTCCTGGGTGCCAAGCCTGGCCTGTGTGCATTGGAAAAGCTTCATGAAAAGTGAGTTTAGCCACTGGTGCCGCTCCAGGTGCTCTATTATGTCTACCGCTTCCAAGCTGTCCTCCCCGACTACAAATGGGATGTGGCAAAAGTCTGCGTGCCTTGCTGCAAGATACCCTTGGCGACCTCCTCCAAAAATCGGACAGCAATGATAGACATTGCCATGCCAGAACCTTCGGAACTTCAGCTTGCAGTTGTTGATGCGTTCTCTACACCCAGGTGGATGTTTGCAACAGAAGATTGGCCTAGACTCGCGAGCATGTTGCCTCTAAAACCTCGCCATCATAGTCGTGAAGGCGATGTGCTCCCATCACCGGTGAAGTATGACCCTCCTGAAATAGTGCATAGGCCGTTTCCAATCCACCAGTGGGCAAGCAGTTTAAGACTCGTGGGTTGGGACCTCTTCTGACAAGCACACAAGCTGTAGCCGCGAATCTCTTGAGACTGAGGCATCTTATGTCAAAGCCATCACCAGCGGCAAGGCCAGGTGAGACGGAAAAGGCATCAAAGGCTGGGAGATCGGCCTGACAGAAGATCAACTTGCCGGTCTTCGATGTCCGAGATCAGGGGCGTAAAAGTCCCACAGAAAGAGAGAGCAGAGCACGAAGGAGATCTGGAGAAGTGAGAGACATCGTTTCCCGCGAAGTGCAAAGTCCCCTGTGCTGTGTTGTCTGGCTCAAGCTATGCGTTGTCTGTGCACGTTCTGGAGGGCTAGGATAGGCTGTGGATGGATACCACTTCTAGCTGGAGCAGAAGCAAGTCCGTTTCAGAGTCCACGTGCACATGATCATAATCTGGCATGCAGATCGATGAACTGCGGCGTGCCCTGAATGGATACAAGGCATGGTTGGGCATCTTTGGAGAACTTCAGCCCGCGAGCCCGGGAGTCGCTTGCAAGGGCAGAAGCTGTGGAACAAGGACGCACGTGCTGGGCCTGAAGGCGTCGGCGGCTTCGCTGCGCCCTTGCCATGCATCTCAATGGTGTGTCGATTCGCACAAGGCACCCGACTTGGAGACTTGTCGGCCATTGAGCGCAGAGTCCATCGAAGTTGTGCGGGGCCCAACTTCATGCTTGCTTGCTGTTGCTTGCTGTTGCTTGCTGTGGCACTTGCACTTGGGTTCACGTTCAGAGGTCGACACGTTGGAGGCTCTTCAGTGCTGCGCCGGTGTCCTGTCTAGCAGCTCCGTCCTGGCTGTGGATGCTTTGGCCCCGGAGACGCTGAGCTTTCCTTACGATTACGGCCTTACGATTTCCTTCTATCGAGGTTGAGCGACATTGGCTAGAATCCTACAAAGGTCAGTGCGAAGCGGTGAGCAGAGCATCCAGCGCCATGTTCACCCCTTGCTCTTGCAGGCTATGTGTGTTTGATCCAAGTCTCCACCGCAAAGGCATGTTCATCGGCACAATCGGCACTGGTTGCTGACTGCTTGCTTTGGATGCTCTAGATATGCTCTAGACTCTAGTCTATACTTACTCGCGCTAGCTCTGCCTTCAGCAGTGCTAAGCGATTGCATGACTTAGCATCGTGAGCCAACTGTTGCTGCAGTGGTGCGTGCTTGAAGGCCGGTGGCAAGGCCTTCCTGGTGGACAGCCTGCGTTTCTCGCATGAGCAGGTGGGTGTTGGGCATCTGTGAGCTTGGGCTTTCCAAGATGGCACGGGACAGCGCCAGCACTGAAGGGACGGCAACGGTCCTTGCTCCTTGCCCAAATTGGATTCTCCATGCGAGTGAAGATATCGTTTGGGCCGACAGCCTGTGCGCTGCTGGGAGGATGCAACGTCTGTTTCGTTCGTTTCCGTTAAAAGAACTGCGCCAGAAAGATTTTCCAACAAACGCATTCTCGGATATTCTCGGAACTAGCGAGCCAATCAGGTCGCCAACCCTAGCCATCGGAATTTTTTTGCGATCGTAGCGAGAGAAGCGGCAGGTCAAGCGCTGTCTCGGCGAGGCATGGGTGAGGGTTGATGACCGGATGAGCCATTGCCTCTGGAGCCTCCTGGGAGGTCTTGGAAGACCCCGGCATCCTAAAGGCACGAGGGAAAGGGATGGAGAGATGCGCAGCACGTTTGCGGCATACGGTGCATGCTCCAGCGACAGAAGGTCTTCCATGCAGCAGCCAACGACATTTCGTGGTTGCGCGAGGACGGACGGCATCAGAACTTTAAACGGAATTTGGAATGAGGTGGAGCGAGCCGCTTCTTCTGTTTGCATTTCCATGCGCCGAGCGACACGAAGGAATTCTCGATTGGCCTCAGGCCGACAGGGGTCGCGAGAGTTGGAGTCTCGCCGTGTAATGGAGCAGCAATGAGCACAAATGCCGTTCAGGTGCACGCTCGACACTCAGGCAGCACGAGACGAATTGCATCTGTGATCTGTGCTTCTATATTGTGTAGATTAACTTTGCCAGTGGAGGCTTTGGCGCACTTTCTTGGCTGCCCCATCCAAAAGTTGACAGATCAATGGCCGGAGACCCAGGCAGATGTATTGACGCGGCGGATAGTCGCATAGTTCTCGAGACTGTGCAGTGGGCACTAGGTCGCTCTGGAATGGAGTGAGGTCCACATTTTGCAACGTGCACGCTTCGGCGGATCTTAAGTCGCGACTGCAATGCTCTGATTGGCGGCGGCGCCCGCTTGTGCCTGTCCAGGCACTGCATTGTGCTGCATTGTGCGGGATCTGGACTACCGTAGCGGCTGCTGGTGCTACACAGCGAGGTGATCTACGCTGCAGCCGACTCATATTGCCTGCTGCGTATAGTGCCAGCCTTAGCTTGCACTGCATTCGGCTGGTTGAGGCTGCTTCCGTGAGAATCCCAGATCGTCATATGTCACCTTTGAGGCGTCCTTCTTGCTTCGTGTGGCAGCGCTTCTATTCCCGTCAGACTTCGAGAATACCTGGGTGCGCCATCATCGCGCAAATCCCGCCTTCAGCTCTTGTCTTTGTTGCTGCGCTGACACTGTGCTGGCTTCAGCCATGCTTGACAGCAGATCATCATCATCGCTGGTGCAGTTCATTGTGCAAGGAAAGCGGAACGGAGATGTTTGTACCATATTGCAATATTGTACCTTTCACACACAGCATGTGTCTGAGACCTTAAGAGAGAAACAGAGAGAGAGCGACAGCGAGACAGAGACACGGAGGTACATCGGGAACAGCCGCAGCTTCAGCAAGTGTAGCAGCATTAGAGGCAGCATCGACAGTCCGAGGGAGCAGCGTCTGTGAATCTGTGAAGAAGTGCAGCATGTCCTGCCCTTGGGCTCCCATGTCTACACGCTCCGTGAAAGCCTTTCGCACTACTTATGCAGCCGTCTCTTGCGACTTCGACGCCCTTGCTGGAACGCTATCGTGACATGGCCGTGACATGAGTTTGCAAAGCAGGGCACCAAGCGGTTTCTAGGAAGGCCTAGGGTTGGAAAGTTTTGTTTTGCTTCCGGTGAAACAGTGGTGAGACGAAGGAAGGGGCAACAGTGCCGATGGATTGCTCGGTGAAGGTAGCTCTTGCGTCGTTTACAAGGCGCTGGCCTACGATGGCTCCTCTGTTGCTGTAAAGGCCTTCCGGGTCAAATCATCAACGAGCCAGAGCCAGGAACAGCAAGAACGCTACCAGAAGGAAGTGGCCATGTTCAAAGTCTTAGGCCTGGGGCCTGGTGGGCCTGATGGGCCTGGTGGGCCTGGTCATGTGGAGAATCCGCGGCGGCTGTTTGTGAATCTCCTAGACTACTCCAGAAATCAAGCTGAGACTCCGGGTCCGGAAAAGGACGGCAGATTCTACATGATCTTGGAGCTCGGACATGAAAGTCTTGACACGTGGTTGCGAACGACTGGCTTTATCCGGATGGCAAATTTCATCGAAATTGCCAGGTCCCTTCTCGCAGCCTTGGAGTTCTTGCATGGCCTCGGCTTCGTGCACTTGGATGTTAAGCCTGACAACATCATGCGCTTTGGGTCGCTCTGGAAGCTGATCGACTTGGGAAGTTGCCTTTCTGTGGGCGACGTGGTGCCACTGGACGGCTTCACGCCTTTGTACTGCAGCCCAGAATTGGCTGAAGCCGCCTTGGAAGAGAGCGAAGCGAATCTGGGTCCGCTCCGTTGGCCGCTCCGGGCTCGCCCGGCCATGGATCTCTGGGCGGCTGGAGCCGGGGCCCCGCCTTGCCGAAGCACATCTGTCCAACCTGTCCTTCCTTGTACCCCGGAGCCTCCCCTAGAACATGTCCGGATCTCAAGGTCGTGCTCCTCGACGTTTTGGTCCAGGGCTGTTGCTTTGCAGAGACAAAGGCCATCTTGCCACCGAATCGTGCATGTGTCATTGAGTTTTTTCCTCATCACACGAGAAGAATTGGTCTTAAAGGCCTCCTTGGACCTTGTGGACCTGTTCGCCGATGCCACTCCCTTCGAAGGCTGGTATCGTGACTTGGCAACCTGTTCGTATGCGCATCGTACATAGCGCATGCGACCTCGCTGGCTCGCTGGCATGGAACTTCAGAACTTCAGCCCCTGTACCCGAGCAGTACCGGCAGTAGTGGAGACAAGTGATTCACTGAGGATGGCTGGCATCTACAGAGCCGATAGACTTGCGGTGCTTAGTAGCGGAAACACCTGGTGCTGCGCTGCTCAATGGAGAACTCTGCAACCTCTTGGACGGTCTTCTCCAGAAGGATTCTATGATGCAAGATTCAGGGATGCAGCTTCCCTCAGTTTTCTGCATCGCAACGATGCGGCTTCAAATGATCCGTTCTCAGGGTCGAAGTCGAACAAAAGAGATTCAGGCATACACGGCCTAAGCAGAGTTCCCCAATCAGTCGACGCAGTTTCTTCGCTGGCCGAACATCTCCTGGCCGCCCAAGGAGCTGGACAGAAGGCCATCGGCGGCCAGCGTGCGGAGGCACCCGCTGCTCGGATAACACTGCGACCACTACCACCCCACCACAACGACTACTAGACTAGTTCTGGTACCACAACTGGTACTAGTACCCAACACTACCACGACCACTTCCAGTACCACTACCAGTGCCATTACCACCACCGCCACCGCCACGACGACGACGACTACAAGTGCTCTTGCTGCTGCTGCTGCTACCACCGCCACCTAGACGACGACGAGGAGTAGTAGTAGTAGTAGTAGTAGTAGTAGTAGTAGTAGTAGTAGTAGTAGTAGTAGTAGTAGTAGTAGTAGTAGTAGTAGTAGTAGTAGTAGTAGTAGTAGTAGTAGTAGTAGTAGTAGTAGTAGTAGTAGTAGTAGTAGTAGTAGTAGTAGTAGTAGTAGTAGTAGTAGTAGTAGTAGTAGTAGTAGTAGTAGTAGTAGTAGTAGTAGTAGTAGTAGTAGTAGTAGTAGTAGTAGTAGTAGTAGTAGTGGTAGTAGTAGTAGTAGTAGTAGTAGTAGTAGTAGTAGTAGTACTAGTAGTAGTAACACAAGTAGTAGTAGTAGTATATAGTAGTAGTAGTAGTACTAGTAGTAGTAGTAGTAGTAGTAGCAGTAGTAGCAGTATGTGGA